CCCCACATAAGGGAAAAAGAGGATGTTTCCTCTAACTTAACTTTAAGGGTTAATTGACTAATACATTTCACATTAACACCAAAAATTGCCACAGAGGACTGACAGACAAATGAAAGATTTCAGTCAGATGTAGTGCTTGAAGCAAACACTGAACTTTCTGCTTCAGTTGACCCTACCATCTGTGTATCTACCACTGAGAAAATGAGTAAGTCAGTCCTGGGTTGCATAAAAGGAAAAAAAAGATCCAAGAAATTCTCGTGGCACCACTCAGCAATGCTTTAGCTTAGTATTTTCTCAACCAAAGAAACAGATTCCAGATCTTAGAAGTGACAGACAATACTACATTTCATTAGATTTTCTCTGATGAAGAAAAACCACAAAATCAAAGGCAAATAAAGAAGGAATAGTTTAGTGTGGTTCAATGGGTGTCTCTGAATGCACAGCAAAAATAAATTTGGAAATACATAAATTTTAGTGTTTTGTCTACAAAATACAAGAAAATACATTACGAAAAAAAGAGTTTGTCATGGATATGTGGCTCCTTCTGTTCTCAAAACTCTGATAACATACCTACCATCTCCACCTCTCTACTCAGCTGGAAACTTACAGAATTTGACAAAATTTGGTTGGGGCTTCCACAGCTCATCCCATTATTGCATTTTCTCACCATGCTTAACTTCAGCTTGACTTTGGCTTTTTTTTTTTTATACTTCTGGTTAGCACTTAATTGATGTGACCAGACAGTTTCCATACATAGAAAATACTGTTTAATGTAAATGGCAGAATTGCAGCAAAACAAAATAAAGAACATTTCAAAAGGAACAAAGAACCCATATGTATTTACTTTTCTTAGTGCCTCACCCCAAGAGATGACAAACAATTCTGAATTCTTAGGAGTCTTCTCTTATGCTCCTAAAAAGGTGCCTTAGTCAGCTTGTTTTGCTAAAAGAAAAGCTTTGACAACTGCCTTTTGTAATTTCCAGAGAGTGAATTTAAAACATTGTTTGTGGTCTTTGTTATGGATTATTTGGTTTATAACATCAGCAAAATGAATCCTGTAACTTTGGCAGGAGTGTCTTCGCACCTGATCTGGGCCATAAGATATTTCATCTGCACCTATTTTACTACTTTTCTGGCATGTTTCTTAGTTTGCATGTCATTGTGCAAAATGGACTTGTGCAAGGCATTTGACACACGACATCCTCGTCTCTAAATTGGAGAGACATGGATTTGACAGATGGACCAGTTGCTAGATAAGGGATTGGCTGGATACTTGCACTTAAAAGAGTTGTGGTCAACGGCTCAATGTCCAAGTGGCAAGCAGTGATGAGTGGTGCTCCTCAGGGTTTGGTACTGGGACTGGTACTGTTTAACGTCATTGTTGGTGACATGATTCTATGATTCTGTGATTAATTAATCCAATCCATATTTACAGTACTTTTATCTGGAGAGTTAGGTGGGCAGTTCCACAATGAGCATGCTTCCCATTTCAGGGGCTTAAAAACAGAGACAGTCATGGACTAACACTGGGTTAGTCATACACACATACATTGGGTAGCAGTTCCAAAAGTTTGAAGAGAAATAAATGCACTCATGCATATCAACTGCATTCTTAGGCATAGTGTCTCCAGCACATTCAATACCCAAAATAATGCAAATGAGGTGCTGGAACACATCACACAGGTCCACAAATTAAGGAAACCCTGTTGACTCATTGATGATTCAACATTAAAACTCCCCAAGCCAATCAGAAGCTGATCAGGTGGAAAGCCTAGCTCTTGGAAAAGCAAAAGCTAGACTCCTACTTAAGGTGCTCTGAATCACTATGGGATCCTTTCACTGTGTTAGATGCACAGTATCAATCAATACAAAGCTATTGTAGTGCCTAACGGAATTATGATTTACTATTTTCAGATCGATGGATAGATTGCATGGGATTAGCCCATGTCAGGTACTTTAAATAATAAGAAACCCTCCATCCAGCATTGAACTAAGACACACAAAACTGTGCTTCCTTGAAATCTCAGCAGAGTTTGGATAGAGATTAAGTAAATGACTGTGCAAGAAATATTTACTTTCATTGGTTCACTAAATAATGAAAAATAAGGATGGATCTAACTTCTTAGGTAGTGCAAAGATACATATTTACGAACTCTAATTCAATACAAAACTAAACAGAATAATCTGGCAGTTTAAAAGAATCTGTGTTCATTCCTCCCATATTTTAGACATCATCCCAATTGTGTAGTTATTACATTTCATAAAACAAGTGAACAGTTTAGTTTTATACATCTGAGTCCATGTCCCATTTAAATGCAAAGCAATATATTTATTAAAATATAAATTTAATTGTCTAAAAGATTAATTTTTATCCATTTAATTTTCATAGTATCTCTTTGTGAATATGTCCATTTATTTTAATGGGAGGGATTTATTTTCTGAACCACAGAAATACCAAAACTGATATGGATAATATAAAAAAAAGAGCACTTAATATTCATGCAAACTTCATACACTGCATAGCTGCTAAAACTCAGTAAAAAATAAGAACCTATTTAAAAATATTTCCTTTAAAGCAATTGTCTACATTTAATATTTAGGCCTTAGGGAAAAATTAAAGCAACATCACTTTTACTGTGTAACATTCTCATAAAACATGGATGAGGGCTTCAGTTCTGATAATACAACATGCATCAGGAATTTACTGTATTAATGTACTAGCAGATCAAGGGATAAAGAAAAGCATGCTCAGAAAGACGATGATTAAAAAATAAAAATAAACCCCCTAACAAATCAACAACAGATTTGAAAATTAGTGTTAGTGTTGCCCTATATAATCTTCAAATGTTATTGAAGATACTGACTTTTCTGTAGGCTATTTTTTACCTCTATATTTTTCTGCCAGTCTAAATCTAGTCTTTACGCATTTCCAAATCAGACAGTTAAAGTGGTCCCAAGCAAGCAAATGGAAGGAATCAGATCAAAGACAATAAAGCATGACAGATAAAGGCAGAGCTAGCTCATAATAATAAAACACAGGAAAACAATCCACTTTTTATCAGGTTGCACAGTCCATAGATTGTAGGGGAAGATGATATTCAGATACTAGAATGGAATTAAAATACTGTAGGAGGTCTGAAAAAAGCAGAGATATAAAACTCACATTTTACTTGAATATACACAATCACTATGCATCATTTGTTTGTACTGATGTGCCGTAGATAAAAATAGAGCAGTACAGAAAATGAAGTGTCTTGTAAAAAACCACAAATTTCACTACCATATAGAATGACTTTTTTCATAATTAAAACACTGAATGACACACCTACATTTTGAGACGTATAAGAAATCAACTTCAATTGATTAATCCAAATTAGTTTTAGCAGCTTAATTTTAGCTAACGACAATTCCCATTTCCAAAGATAGTTTCCTTCAGAATCATTTAAAAGAAGTGGGTCTACTCACAGACAGATATACTACTCTGAATAAGCAAACACTAGTAAGTCTTCAATTGTTGCCTTTTTATGCAAAAATAACTCCTTCCCCTTTAATAAAATGCATAGTTGCAAATTCAAACTCAGCCAAAGGGTCAGATGTGTGGGATATTCACAACGAATGGGATGATAAAACTAAATCCTAGGGGTTTTGTTTCTTTCTTTGTCTGCTTAGGTGTTTGTTTTCCCCAAAATAATATGGTGGGTTTCAGGCATTGTTTTTGGCATTTGATTTGCTTTCTGGTAATTGCATAGGTACGCTGCATGAACTAGTTTCATATGAGGTAGTTTGAGGTCTAGGGGAAGGCATGATTTAGCAAATTATTCTTGCTAAAATTGTGTATTTGAATTACTCCCACAGCTTAATCTTTGAAATTAAATTGAAACATGGATCATTTTTAGTTAATTTTTAGTTAAACAATATTAAATAAAAAAGAAGTAACGATGTCTTCGTGATTTTTAATGGTGCATCACAGAAAAGTAGCAGAGCACTGAAATGCTCTGGTGACATCAGTCTGGATATATAAAATTACGAGTTAAGTGGTAACTCCCATCTATAAGAAACTGCAAAGGAATTTTGGTCATTATCTACTTAGGCTGTAGGGTCTGTTTGATACATATTTTTGTTTGTGATCACCCATTACTTTTGTTAATATTTGTTAATGATATTGAATAAGGAAGTACACATCAAAATGCATATAAAGATTTTTAACAAGGCAGTGAGGTTAACCCAAGAGAGTAGAGACACCTGCAATTTCAGATTGCTTCAGAAAATTCAGGCTTAGCATAAGGGACAATGACAAACTCAGAAAAGTCTAGAACCATAAAATACAAGATGAAACATCACCAGACAGAGATAAACGCAGAATTATTTCTGTGCAGAAAAGGCAGTGGACCTAACGGCAAGATATGAAATGCATTAAAAAGATATGAAAAGGGGACAAAACTGAGCTCCACGGACATTTAAAACTGACCAGAGGATGGAAATGGCAATGAAGATTAAAACTGCAAGCAGAAAAAGGAGCTAGCCTTTTTATGGGTTCACAATCCTCTCTGTACTCCTGCTTGCAGTTATACTCTAGGGTGACAATCAGTCATCAGGAACAGCCAAAAAGAGTAATATCTACCATAACAGAAGTTGTTCCATTCATTTTGTGTGATGAGCCCTTTCCATGATCCAGAATGAATTTCTTCTACATCAAAAGTACTAAAATTATACCACAATAGTGTTTAAACACAGTGAGATTCATAAACCTTAGGAATGGCAATTCAGCCACAGTTAAATAGAAGTTAGAGAAAGCTTAAGCTCATTATAAATATAAGAGATATTAATGTTTATTTCAAACCATGGTTTGAATATATTGAAAAGTAATTTTCAATGAATGGAAGTCTACGGAGAGGCCATATATTCTGTCTTTTGTTATAATAAGAGGCTAATCTAACTTATCAGACGACTACTCAAAAATCACTGCTAATTTCCTCTTGCTGCTTTTCCTTAGCTCTTACCTTCCAGACTCAAATGTGAACCATGTTGAGTCACGTCCGTATCTCCTCAAAGAGCTCAGAGGCCACATGACCAGCTTGACCTTGGCATTATGGATGTCCCAGAGATAGATGTTTTCATGTGTGATCTGCATTGTACATTCCCCATAGATATCTAAATTTGGTGTAGGCATAAGGTATACATTGAATCGTTCTGGAAAAAAGAAACAAACAACAAACCACAGAATAAGGCATCAGCAGTTAAAGCAAGAGTTTATACTGGGGAAAAAAAAAGTAAAGAAGTATTTATTTACTGATGGTTCAGAAATCAAGACCACATTTCTAGTCTTGAACAGAGGTGAAGATCCACTGATGTCGATGAAACCTTTCATAATGTACTTGCAAGGAGTAAGAGGAGAATCTTCTTCATTTTGTTTTCATTATAAATAATGCAGCAGACTGAAATATCTTTCACAGATGATCTTCACAGTCCTCTTTGACGTGTCCCCAGCAACACAACCGAAGCCCTTTATCCTCACATTAAGGTCCATAACTCTTTGCAAATAAAAATTTACAATTACTTGAACTCAGATAGAGGCTCCTCTCTCAAAGAACTGAAGTACAGATCTGTTGGCAAAACATGTATGTACAACCACTGCACCTTAGAAAAACTGTCTTTGAAATTGCAAACCCAGGTTTAATTATTGAAGCTTGTTAATAATGATGTTCTTTGGGTTTAGTTTCTATTTATTTGCAAACTCCTTATCATTTGTCAAATTAATAACATTTTTAATCATCTGTTGCTTTCTTGAAAAATCTGATTTAACACAATATATTTTTATGGTTATGACATCAATTGCTATCAGCTGCACTTCCACTGCAGAGTGCACTCATTGAGTAAGAGGTCAAGGGCATTAACAATCTTCTGAAGTGCCTGAATTGCATGTGATTTAATAAGCAACACAAAAACTATCTTAAAAAAAGAAAAAAGAAAAAAGTTAAAAACCAAGACGATATAAACCACTATTCACTCCTATGGAAAGAAGTAAACCACAGTAATAGCAAGACAATTTTAAATAAAAACACAATTTTATTTGAAGAATAACTAAAGTTTCTATGATCTGTTTCTACAAAGAATGAAGAACTCAGTTGAATTGTGATTGCACAGTTGGAAGCGCTAGCCTATATTTTAACTGTAAAGGCGCTGAACTCTTAGGGCTTCATAGCATAATGTGGGAGAGTGCAGCTGATTCACAACTTCCTCTCATAATTTCCTTTCATTTTTGAAATTGGATAGAAATGCAAAATGTCAATGCTACAGCACTGAAGGGTCTTGATAAAAAAGGTAAGAACAATTTAAAGTATAAGCACGAGCAATGCTCATTCAATAAACAGTGTTGGGAAAATGTACTTTACAGGGACATCTGATAAGAAAATTGTCTCCAATTACTTAATAAATGAATGACAGTTTGGTGTGGAATACTTTTAATCCAGCATTTGCACTGAATTTTCTCATGATGTCCTCATAAAAATTAGGAAAGATTTTAAAATAATCAGAAGAGGAATAAAGTGAGAGAAATTTATCATAACAGTAAAAATTAGATACAGCTTCCCATTGTATTTGACATTCAATATCACGGACATTATGTCTCCATTTTTTAAACATTTGATATATATACACTTTTCTGACAAATCAGTGAAAACACTGCAATTAAGTGAATTAATATAAAATATGTTAGAAGTGTGTGTATAAGTATGTGTGTGGGTCAATAAAAGAGCAAAAGTTTGGCTGAGGAATTAATGGCAGCAGAGAACTGCTGGGTGAGCAGTAAGAATTTTTGTCCTGCATAACTATAAGTAAACTTGTCATCTCCAGTGTTTTTCTGTTTCAGTTGATTTAATTTTGTTCTATTAATGACTCCCCAATCGATTCATTCAGGCTCATAGCAAGTCAACCTCTTCTCCCAGGCTCTAGCTCTCATTAATCACACTAATGGGTGTTAGCCCTAAAAGTTTCATTTTTATGACTAAGGTCCCAAGTGTGAAACTCCTAATGTTTTACGAAAGTCTTCTGACACACAGCACAAATAGATTAGCGGGTGCTGCTGAGATCATGGCAAAGAATTTCCCTTAATCCTCAGAGGAATGTATTGGGCACAGGTCTAACCTAACCCCTACTGAAATAAAAGGAAGGGCTTACATGGGAGTATGGGTCAATGACTGCATTGGGAAGGGAATGGAGGAGAACAAGATAACTTATACTTTGCAATGGAATTATATATATTTTTTTATATATGACCATTTTCAGTATCCATGTGTTATTGTGATGGTCATGCAAAAATACCTAGGAGCTTCACAGCTGTGCTTTTATCACATATTAGACTCCAGTTTTGCACTGCCATGCTGTTACTTCCTTTTACTTACCTCCTCTATTTGAAAGAAAGATACAGATGACTGACATATCAGCTGGTTCTCTCAGTTTCCCCTTTATATTACATGAAATCACACAATGTGTTTATGGCTGAATGGGGCTACTGTGAGAGAATCAAAATCTTTCTCTTTCCCTGTTTTCACTGACATCACCTCAGACAGCAGAGAAAATGGAAAGGTGCAATTATTTTCTGAAGTAAACATTAAACTATTGTGTTGAAGGCACAAAAGATTTCAACTTGTTTTAGAAGTTACCAGGATAGTCATGAAATGCTCAACTTCTCTGAAGTGTTTGACAATATTATTGCATGAAGGGTATTCAGGACACATGGTATCCTCAAACTGCCAAGAGCCATTTGCTGTCTTTGCATGGGACGTCAGCATCTAAGGTGAGGTGTCATGCATTAAAGAAAGTATGTTTGATTAAAGTGAACATCCTCTGCAGGGCAAAACTCTGATCCCTTGGAACTTACTCAAAGTGGCAAGTGTACAAACATATGTGCTGGAGAAGCTTGAGGATGGATATTTTTGCTTTTGAAACAAAAATTAGTACTTTAGAGTAGTGGAAGACTGAGGACATGGAAAAGTGTGGATACTACTAAATGATTTTAGGAATTAAAATGCAGGTTCCAATTATTCCATTTAATAAAATATTTGCACATGTATCTAGGTAATGGTAATACAATCATTCCATTTTCAGAGGCAAGTTTTGCCCTTGAACTCATCCAGGCAAAACCAAACATTCATATGGAAGATTTGGGAATCCCAGCTGAATTCTGTCACCAGATCTTCTGAATCACACTGACTAGGATATTTAGCATCTCTGTAGGTCAGTGACTACCTGCATATGAGTGGGATGAGACAGTAACAGTCCATTGGGTAGTAAATAGAAGCAGATGCTATCCTCTTGGAAAAGACAAGGCTGAGACTGAGCAGGTGCCATTCCTCAGGATTCAGCATCACTATTCTCCTCCTTCCTCTAAAATTGGTGAGAGCAAAGTTCAGAGAGTGGGGCAGCCAGAATGAGAAAAAAATGCTGATATATTGCCACACTTATTCCTCTCATTTCTGTGTAACTGTTCTTCCTCATCTTCTTGAATAAGCAGAGCAATGCTTCATTGTACACTTTGTGCATATAAAGGTGTTTAGCATTTGGGCTTTGGCAAGAATATGACCTTTAATAATGTTTTTCAGAGCAAGGAGCATAAGAGTCTTTGTTAAAACGAGCATATTGACTGAGACAGAGACTTGGCAGCAAGTCCGAAATGCTCTCAGTCTTCCAGCTCAAAGTTCAACTGTACGGGGAAAGTAAAATGACTGTGGCGCCAATGATTCTGGTTCTGTCATTTTATCACTGGATTCCTTTGCTTAAATCACCCCTGTTGGAAAATTGACCAGATAACACTGCAATCTTGCAATCCAGATACTTTGTTTCATTTCAGCTTTAATGTGAGGAAAAAAGTACTTATGGAAGGAGGCAGTCAGGTTGGTGGGATCTATACAAGAGGCTTCAAAAGCAAACATTCAGTTTTTATCCAGAGGAAACTCCTTCAGCATCTATGAGACTTCCGCTGCTGACTTTCTGTGGCTAATTTTCAGATAGAAAGAGAGCTCTGTGTCTTGAAGTCACAATTTTGTGTTTGATCATATTTCAGGTCTATTAGAATGATTCTCTCCTGCTTTACTCAGTGAGGAACCAGGACTTCAGAATTAATTTTATCCCTTTGCTTATAATTATTCTGCACTGCTTCCATTAAAATGTATGAAAAATTTTCTTAACATCTCAATGAAAATATAAAGGCTGCTATAAATAAATTATTTTAATTTGTTTCACTGATAAGCAGCAAGGTAGAGAAGAATCTGAAAACTCACTGGATTAACCAGACATTAAAACTGTAAACACCTTTCTTTTCTGAATAAAGGCATGTTTTGTTTATTTAAAAAAAACCACCACAAAGTATAAAAATGGATTAAGGATAACAGAAAATGAATAAAAAACATGCAAAATGTTTTTATGTAGCAAATCACAAATAGGAATTCTACAGACTCTAGAAAATGCCCTAAAACAAGTCAGCTCTGTGAACATAATTACAAAGTCTCTATGGTTTGGCTGTAGTTTTTAATCTCAATATGCAGCACAAAGAAATAACTCATAATCCTCTTCTGGGGATTCAAGGACGTTGTTCACTATGAAATGTTACATATTTACTAACAGAAATTAATGCTTTTCTTGCAATTAAAACCCAGGAAGCAAGACTACTGTACTGTGGAATCTTTTTAAATAAAAAATGAAGGTAAAACAAATGTTAGGAAAAAGAGGACAAACTTTACCAAGAAGCAATTTTATGAGGTATTAATTTAAATATTAGGCAGGGAGTACGAGTAAAAAATCAATTATCTTTCAAACTTTTCCAGACTTATAAAATCAAAAGTAGCTTTAATGTATGAAAAGAAAAAAGACAGAGCACCAGCACACATAATAGAAAAGCATCATATTGACATCTCAAACATGACACTAACAATGAACATGCTACAGCAGCAAAAGATGAACAGGCCTTTTCTTCAACTTAAAAATTTGCATTTTTTAAATTTGCCTTTGCAAATTTAAAAAATGCAAAATTTGCCTTTGCCTATTTTCTTCATTGTTTACAACAGTTTTACAAGTAAAAAATAATGGAATATGAATTAGTACAAGTATTCGGTTATTTTATTGTTATTTAGTATTCAAAATAGATAGGAATAGTCTTCACCAAAGAGAAGCACTTGCTCTTAAAGAGTGAATATAGTAGCACTGTCTGCATCAATATTGTGTTGAATACTTTGATTTCTTTTTCACATAAACATAGTCTGTTTGGATGACTGTTTGGATCTGTGCATTTGGATGACTTCTTTGTAGTTATTTCCTTTTATAAAGAATGAAAATACAGAGACACATTGGAAAGTGATATTTAGAAAAAAATCATGAGCATGGACAAATTCTAGATATGATGACAACTAGGCAGGCAAAGGTATAATAAGAAAACAGATTTGGTTTTGTTGTTATATTTTGGGGTGGACTACCAAATGCTTACAAATGCAGTGAGAGCTGGAAAGGAAGTTTCAAGTTCTTCCAAATGAAGATAACACTCTACATTCATCATTTTCCCTAGTAGCAGCTTGAGAAATCTAAGGAATACAAAATGTGTCTGTAAGTATCATATGATACTGCTTAGAAGATTACTTGTCAACAGTGTTATCGGATCCCACTGAGTCCAGATTTTCTTTTCTGGAGTTATAAATGTGTATTATTATTTGCTTATAATTGTATATACAGCTCCATTGTATATACAGTATAATGGCAGCTCCACTGCGATTATACTAAATTCGTTATCTGATCATTTAGTATTTACTGCTTTTGATTTAATGATATATTTTCATTCTTTATTAAATAATCTAAATGGACATTCATAAACAGTAAGAGACTGTGTTTCTGTGAAACTGAATTTATTTTCTGTGAAAATAAATTTAAAGAGAAACAGGATTGCTGCTATAGGGCTGAGGAATGCAAACAAATCTTAGATTTGTAGTAGAGAGAAGGTAAAATGGTTGGAGAGTAACAGAAGCTCAATTTCAAATCTCACTCTTCTTGGAATCTGTTTATCATTGCAAACTAAGCAGTCATTAGTTGTGAGCCTTAAATATAAAAACTAAACCACCTAAGGGTCATTTTCCACAATGGAGTTTACACAGTAAGATTTGCGGTAATTCTTCTTGAAAGCAATAATAGAGATGAAATCCAGTGAGAAGTGTTCTGTTACTGGTATGTTTTGCACAAGAATTGTTTAAATGTCTTCTCTATTCTTCTTAGGAGACTCAGTAGCCAGAGGTCTCTGCTATAAGCAGTGCAGATCTATAGTTTGGCTGTTTTAGCTATCACCACTGCAGAATTGCTTAGTGCTGGAGGGTCAAGCAAGAGTGCAACCAATAAAATAGATCTCACTGGTACTTACTGAGCAACTCAGAACTATAAAGGAATGGCTCTTTCAGATAGCTGCACTATTGTAAATTTTTATCCTCCTATGACAAAAATGGCCCAGGAATGCATGGCCTTTTAGCCGTGATATTTGCACACCAAACAGCAACTTTTCCAGCCTTTGGAACAAACTGTTTTGCAAACCGTATTGTTGCATTTGTGTCATAGAGAATCAGGTGTCTTCCTTGCTGAGATGGAAAGACCATCTCAGGAGAACCACAAGAGTGAGAGCAGGAGGATAAACAGGCTCAGATGTAACAAAAAGAGATGTTAGATAAATCATAGCAAAGACACATATTTTTCTTGCCAAGTATTTCCTGAAATGTAAGTTCTTGGGTATAAACAATATAACTATCATATCGCAATGAGCTTTTATGGTCCCAGGGCATATACAATAACAATTAAAAAAATTGTTATAAATGTTGCAAAATGAAGGTATAGGCTACGGTGGTCATACACAGGGACTAAATCAGAAACCCACACAACAGAAAACTTCCTGTTCTTTCAAGAGGTAGCTAATTTACTCAATCCCTTACAAGTAGATGACACACATCATGCAAAACGTCCTTTAAGGAACAGAATGGGCAAGTAGTTGGACAGATTAAGAATATTTCGTATTAAAAATATTATTGCTAGGAAAATGTAAAGCAGCACATAAAAAACCCCACTCCTTACTAGGCTAGTTCTTTTATGATCAAGGAAGTATCTTTATTGAATTTTTGAACATTTCAGAAAATCTTTAGGGCAAAAAGAAAAGACAGTGGAGTGACATGGGATTAATGTTTAATACACCTGTTCTTTTGGGATTAATAGTATTAACACCCTGTCATATCACAGAGATATCAACAGTATAACACCCTTATTGAATTGCTTCTAGCTCTTAAAATGTAAAAACCAAAAAAATATCTGAAACTGCAAAACCACTGGCACTGTAGCATTCATGATACTGCAATCTGTGGTCTTGCACCTTTTTGTTCAGTGACTTGAAAGAAAGCTCTCGTATGGTTCAGGCAACAGAACTTTAATGAAACTAGATGCTGAGGCTTTACGAGTCTATTTCAAATTTTACAAACTGTATTCTCACATCTCTGTTTCAAGTAAATATTGACTAACTCAAGAGGAATTCTATGAAGTTGACATACTTGCAATGTTTTGAAACAATGACATTGAAAGCTGCTATACCAGTGTAGAGTTTTTATTTAACACAAAAATAATAAAATGACCGTAAGAGTGACACACCTGCCATTTTCACAACGAGTAAGAATTTAGACATTTCATATATATAGTCACTTTTCATGGATTTCAAATTGGAAAACTAATTTCGACCTTTCAGTTTCAGGTCAACAAAAGCTCAGTAGAGATTTGAAAGATTTTTAGGTATCTTTTGAACTACAATTATTTATAGCATGCCTTTAAAAGATACAATAATGGGAAAATGTCCAAGAAAATTTTTAAATTTGTATTTTTTATCAGAGCTCACAAAATGATTTCACCCTTCAATTAGTCATTGTTTCCATAAAACTGTCATGTGGGAAATGGCACTGCCAAATTTGCAGAATAAGATAGCTAGTATAAACTGAGAGTTCCACTCAACTGATTTTCCTGAAAGAATCTGTTAAAGAAATTTGAATGCAACTGCAGGTTCTTACAGCACAACTACATGAACAAAATGCTAGATTTCATACCAATAGTAACAATCTCTGTGCTCTCCCCTCCTTCCAAGTTCATTAAAAGGCCCCCCAAGCCAGAATTTGCTTTGCTTCTGAACAAGACAACTGAGGAGACAACTTTGAATTTCTAACATGCTTATTAAAATGCAGAGTTGTGCATCAAGTGGATGAGGGAAGGAAGCTGATAGGTATCAAAATTACTTGTCAGAGATACTGTAACTAATTATTTAGCAGAGCATGATCCTCAAATATTGGATTATATCTACTCAGCCACTTGGTTTAAAACAATATGGCTAATGATACCTTCCACATATTATTATTCATGTAATTTGTACAAAAAGTACATGCTTTGCCTCTTTGTTTCTTTTCATTTATTTACTTAGAATAATAAAGATGTCAATTATGTTCATATATGCTGGTTGGTAGCACTAAAATTAATTTCTAGACTAAAGCAATTGAATCAAGACCAGTTTGCAGAACAGAACTAATCTATGTCTTCTGGAGGTTATGTGTGTATAACTGGATCGCTTTCAACAACAAGATGAAATGTAATATTTACCATCTATGTGTGAAAGCTGCTGGACAGTACATGAATTCACTGCAGAAAGAGCGTGAGAAATTTCAAGCTATTTTTCTCACATCACAGGCTTTTGACAAGATTTATTTTCCTTTGCATTTGTGAGGAAACACATAATTCTGTTACCAATCGTATGTATATGAGTTTTATACCTATAGCTTATGAGCATATAGCAGATAGGATGCTTTGAGTGGTGTCTGATCGTTATCGCTGTCCTACGGTGTTAGTAGCTCTCCCTTTGAGAGAGCTACTCAGTAGCTGAGTGACTGTAGTTTCCAGTTCCAGGCTACAAATTAAATCCTGCGTCTCATAGCAAGCAAACAACTTCATAAACATTTGAACTTCTTTTGAATTGCATTTGAACATGTCTGATTTTTGAACAAAATTTCTTAAAGGTTTCTGCATACTTTGTGTTATTATGTTCAGAGATGTCCGGACTCTGATGAAATTAATACAATATAATCAATATAGTGCTATTCATTCTATAATTTAATTATGTAATTTTGTTTATAATGATAGTTGGCTTGATATTTTATGACCATTGAGTCAGTGTGTTTTATTACTTTGTTAAAAGCTATTGGATTTTATAAAAGCATTGAGACAGTAATAATCACTGAGTGCTGTAATTTCGGGAGGAATAAATGAGCACATTTCGAATTGCCCTCATGTTCATTAATAGGAATTAAATGACAGGATAATCACAGATTTTCTTTTGTTATTGTATGTTCCATCCACTAGCATCCTCCCTGTACACGCATCTAATCTAAAGTTCTCTTCCAAATAGCCTTTATATGAAGACTTACAAGCTCAGGCTCAGAGCTGACTAGCATCTGTCATTGCCCTTTTCAGCTGTTATTTCACAACTTAGATGACCTTGACTTCATTATTCAAGACAGGTATAAGTTGAAAGCAAATATGTGTTTGGCAGTCCAAAGTGGTGTTGATATGTTCACTGATGTCTTTTATAAGCCGTGAAACAACAGCTCCTGCTTTATTCCTCTGCACAGAGGCCATTGTCTCCAGAACCAGAAAGGTCATAGTCATAATTTCTCATGACAGGAAAATGCAAACATAATGGACACATGAAGTCACCCTATACGTGCTATTTGGTATGGAATTTAATCATCTTTATTTGTAGAAACAATAGGAATGAGCCTTAAAAACACATAAAAAGGTTTAGTTATTAATGATGTGCTTCTAGCTAATAGTAAAAATCCCAGCAACAACAAACACAATCAAAGATAAATTTGGACATCACTTAAGAAAATATCTAGGAGCAATTACAAAGTTACTTACCATTTTGTTCTCTCTGGACTCCAGCAGCAAGCAAATCTGGTTCCCCAAGGCTTATATCATTGAGCCTGGTTCCTAGACACTCCATGCAAAGATGTTTGCACCATTCCTCTGCCTCTAGTTCTGGAAAAACAGGAAAAAAAAATAATCAGTGTTAATATTTTACTCAAAACCAAGTGAAGTTAAATCAATATCTTCTTACTGACCAGATTTATGACAATATGCTTGTGTTGAAACGTGAGTTATTAGCATAAACTACCACACCTATTTCTTTGCCTTGATTTATGAACTTATAAAGGGGTTTAGACTATCAGGACTGCATCTTCCATTCTGAAATTTGAGGGTAGGAGGTAGAGTTAACAAAAAAGAGAAAGGACTAGTGAGTTTTCAAGGCATTATCTTCCTAGTAGGCCTTCTTGAAAGAAAAAATGTGATATAGGAGAACATTAGATATAATATCTGAAATACTCTCTACTGTTCTTTAGGTGAATCTGAACTATTACAAAACTTTCTGTTTCTAAAGCTTCTAGAGTATTTTTCTAGAAGCAAAGATAAAAACAGTAATAAAAACATAATCAAATCTGAAAGTTCCTTCTCTGCTGTACCGAACAGTTATCCCTGTCAAGTTAGCTTGAATAATTAATTTCTTCAGTTGTGTTCACCTTCTTTTTGTCTCACAGAAGTTTGGGCATTAGTTGGAACATTTGTATGAAAATTCAAAACCTCCTAGTTCTTTCCCAGTCCTCTGTTGCATCCCAGTGACGTACATCTGAAAGCTCCCTATCTGCTAGTCTACAAGATATAAATTCCCCATGGCATAAACCCCCAAGACACCACAACAGCCCCTCCTCCACACCCAGCCTCTTCCTATCCACTTCCCAAACTTAACGTCACAAAATCTCTGGCATTGGTCAAACAAGTAACATCTCAAGTTGGCTTTCACACAGTGTGAAACCACAACTAACAAAAATCATATAACTAGGCCAACTGCCTTTTATTACAGAGTAGGCTTTACCTCAGGGAAACTTTCTGAAGAGCGGGCTTGGCACCAGGCACACGCTGAGCATCCATTGTCACAGTCAGTCTATATCTGATCATCTTTAGGAGTGGGTGACTCCAGTCATCTAGAAATGTCTCTATTAAACTGCCACAGTTTTTTCATTTCTATTTTTGGGGACATCTGGAAAATACTTCGTGACAATCTCTCCCATGCATTGCTGAAATTCAGAGTTAGAAAAAATACAGCATGCAAGCCCTGAAGCATCTAGTGATGATGACTCATTGTAATTAGTGAAAATTTATATCCAAGGAATATCTTTCCATGCCTAACTGGTACAGTCCTCATATCTTCGCCTGGTTAGGCATAGATCTTGCTGGACAAGAAAGGGAGACAGGCACGCAATCTTAGGTCTCCAAGAATGTTTGGATACCATCCTTTGTTCAGTGTCCTGAATAATCCAGGAATAGATTGCTCCTGAGTTACTCTGGCTATCAGCTGACCGAGTTCCCAGCAGAGCCTGTTTTGGGATTTTTGAGAGCCAAATGTGGTTGTTGTCACACAGACACAAACAATTTCAGGGGCTTGTCCAGAGCGATGTAAGCAAATGGGTTTCCCTTATCTTTCCTGTTTTTTTGCAGTCTCTGTCTCGGGGCACAGATCCCCAAAATTGGTTTTCTAATAACAACCTCAACTTCTGGTTGTATAAGACAGAACTTTCTGTCACTAACATCCAGATGACATTTAACTTTTTATGTGAGAAAAAAATATTGAGGTAACAGCAGACTGCTCCTTGACACTTCTACAGATACAGCCTCCTTGATGGAAGTAAGGAGAGAACAGGTATATCTCTGGACAGCAATAAAAACTTAGGGCTTTTAAAAGGAATAACATGAATTTGTCTAAAATCCTACCTCCAAAATTTATTTTCTACTCATGCATGAAGAAATTTTCCTCCTGTTTTCCCTTCCTCTCCTTCAGCCTTTGCAATTTCCTTTGTTATTCGTTGAACCAGAGCTGTGCCTATAAATCATACCTTCCCATGGAGAGGGCTTCATGTCAGGGAGATGACAGAAGTGGACCACAAGACATGCTGCCATACTCTGGCAGCATGCAGAGGGAGTGTGGGGGGCAGTGTACCATCATATGGGTAAGCCAAGCCTTGCCATGGGGGGTTTCCACTGAGTCTCCCAACATCTGCTTCCAGCTACAGAGAAACTCGGGGAAATGAGTGCAGAAAGGCTGGCGGCACAAAGGTGACAGTGCAAATCTAGTCTAGCACTCCCATGTTTCCTTCCCATCCCCCTCACCATTTCTTTTCTGCCTAAATCATATTGCAGAACAATATATATGCTGACAGAATGCATAGCTCTATATAAAGCCTGTAGTTTTTCCTGGCGTATGGTCAGGATATAACATTTCATGTATTTTACAAAATCTGCATTTTATTACTTTCTTTCACTGTGCCTGCACCCGGATTGAAAGGGTACATTCTGGAAATGTTGAATGAGATGATGGCAAACAAACACTAAAGTAACCTGTCTAATTTTACAAACATCTAAGGAGAAAGGAAAACATATTGGCATTTCCATAAATCCACCTTAATTTAACATCAATATATATTCAAAACAGGACTCATGTAAAAGCAACAAGTTCTATTTATATGTATTCTCTCACCAGATTTCCAGCAGATTTTTTGGGAAACAAACAAACAAACAAAATGCATTGTTCTAGAAAGATGTTTCTTGTAAGAGTCTTTGTTTTCATCTCCTCAATCCATTTGCCTCTCTCTATGACAGGAACATCTAGACCTTGAAAGTTTGGATCCAGAAACTTCCTTTCAGAATGTTTGACTCTGGCAGTTAAATTTAAGCTGCAGCTTCTTCACTGCCAGACATTGGTGATTAGACCTAGATTAGACCCTTCTCCAACTGCCACACAGAAGGCACTTATATTACTGTGAGCATTATAAGATCATTGTTGTATTTTGCAAAGTGTGGGCTATAACATGCATTGTATTACTGTAATACTTAAACTTTGTATCTTACAAAAATGATCAACTTAATACTACTGAAAATACAGTTTCAATGCAGAACTGAAATATCTTCCCACAGAACTGTGAGGATTTGTGTCTGCTGTCAGAAACATCAACACTATCTACAAATGTGTTTGTAAGGTCAAGGGTATGATGGCACTCTGCGAGGTAGTTTTACCTAATGCATCCTAATAGCTATTTCTTACTTGCAAGGGATTGCCTGCAACCTTTTCCTTGACAGACATGTGAAATCTTCTTTAGAAGCAGGTGAATTACCTTTCAAAGCTAAAGCTGTATTTCTCCTTTCATTATGTGCATCTATAAAGCAGTTCACCATTATTTTGTAAAAGGTCTATAGAATGCTTTGTGTTTCTGGATAACAACTTAAATATTATTTATGATATTTAACATTTATTTATTATAATTTTTAATACATAAATGCTTCAGTCACAGTAGCTATCTTTCAGAATGACAGCTACCACATCACAAAACAGAGCTACCACTGTTATTTCTTTATTTTGATTATATAGATATATTGGAACAGATGAAATATTACAGTGGAACCAAGCCATAAAAAGCTGTCAGCAAAATTCTTCTCTTTAATGAATGTAGATTAGATTTATTGGTTGTAAATGCTGAGTTTTCAGTCATAACTGGTACTTGTCATTGAAAAATTTAGTTTCCTTTTAAGATAACTGAATTCTTAGACTGAATGATAAATTGTAAAGCATGCTTTCACAGCTATAAATAAAATCCAAATACTTGCATTTTCATCTTTACTGTTACTCGATCATAAAATGCTGCTATACAAATGTCATGAAGTGAGATGATAAAATTCAAAGAGATGGGAGATCTTAATTAGGTACTGTTTATTGCATAAGAAATATTCTGGGGAAAAAATCTGTAAAATTGTTATCAGAAAACACACACCTTGTTATTAGCAATATTTCCCTGCAGTTTACCTGAGCTTCTAGGTCATGCCTGAGATTATATGTCATTTCTACTTCAGTTCCTAGGTGATTAAACTGGTGCTGTACCTATGCCAACCACTGAAGTGGTGTGTAGCAAATGATAAATGGGTTTGGTGATATAATAATGATGATGAAATAATATTGGCGAATGGTGTCAGAATTATAAATTTCTATGAGTGAAAGAGCTCTTCTGCTACTTATGGTTTAAAACAGTTTGTGTTACACAACATATTCTAGAGGGAAGAGGTGGAGGGCAGAGATAGAGATACAAGGATATATTTCACTTCACTGTCCTCAGAGATTCTCTAGGTCTCTCAGGCTAGAGATGAGATTGTTTTCAGACTCCTAACTTGGGAAGCATTTTGTGTGTGGACTAAATCAAATCCCTTCTGAATCCTGATAACTTCACATTCTTTCACATTTACCTCCTGTGCTCACACCGCACAACCCTACAGGAGCCTTTCATCACCCACCACAAGTTGCCAGCACGGTTGAATGCCACCAGCCTGAGACAAAGCCCCAGAGAGGTGACCGCTCCGGCTCAGTTCAGCTTTTCTCTCCCTGAGTAACAGTGCCCTCCATTGCAGTGGATCCCTTCTGTCACCACCACCAGCAAATTACTGCATTTGTAAAAAAATGTGACAATTTATATGCACCTCTTAAAATTTAAAAAAAGAGATGAGGAAGTTTGTCTCTTCCTCTTCTCATGCAGCCCATACAAAGTCATGTGACCAAGGATTTAAGTTGGATATAACATGTATGCACTATTAGAGGGGAACAACAAACACTGCCATTGTGCAGATACTTACTTTTTGAGTCATCCCTAATGTCAAACTATATAAACCTAGAACATTAGTTTCTCCATTTCTGAAACATTTTATGTACTTCCTGCACAAATGGACTTTTCTTCCCTCTAAACTACATCTATAAGAGGTCCAAACCCAACTGAATATTCTTACTCTGAATGAAACTGGAGAATCTATCTTGTCTGCATCACTAGGACTGATATCAATATCATCTGATATTCTCTACCAAGAAACAAAGGTGGTGCAGAAAAGCCATATGTTCCAGTTTAACTCTTCTAAAACTCACCCAGCCTTAATTAGAAATTAATAGGAAA